GCAAAACCAAACATGTAATACAACAAGGTTCCCCTCTTCATCTTTATGTTCCCTCTTTTTCTCTTCTTCTGTGTGCTCCCTCACTTCCTCTTCTTTCTTTTGCTCCTTTTTCTCTTCTACTTTCTTCTCCTCCTTGTTGATGTCTACACAACTTTCCTCTATTTCTTGTCCTTCTTCTGGGGAAAAAGTTATAATTTTAGACATTGTAGGCTGACCAGTAATTTTCTTTTTCTTGCTGTTGACTCACAATCATATATTTCTCTGATAATTATATTGTCCCAGTTTGGAGGGAAATGCTTTATAGATTGCCAGGTTAAGTAGGGGCCTTAGTTAAAAGGGTCAGTAGGAAATTTCCATAATCCATGGTCTCTAGTACAAGAATATACATTTCTATGTTCTTTGAATTTCTTCTAATAGAGTCTAATCATTTTGTTCAACCTTCTGATTAAATTCTTTTGTAGCTCTAATGACATCCTTATGCCATGTTATCCTCTAAAATGCAGTAGGATGCCAGTGGATCAACTATCATCAGAGATGGCCACTTTTACCAACATTAAAATCAGTATCCTTACTGGTTGGTAAAATACTGGGTATTTTACTCATTAGATAATATGCTTCTCACCTGCGTGTGCAAAAATAATTCCAGATGTACCTGGTAGTGGTTCCTGAAACTAGATAAAAAGTAAAGGGAAGTATGCCATCCACAAGAGTCATGTGTAACTTACTTTTAACAACAAGGAACAATAGCAAAAACCAAGATGCCACTGCCTCAATCTCTTGCTTTCCTTAATAACCATGACTATCATAACGTAGATATAGTATTATAAAATTAAATAGACACTAATGAAATGTACATGAAGTAATCTAATTACATGACCTCATATTTCAATGGCAAATTAAAATAGGGCATTCAATACCTCAACTAAACACACTTGGAAAATGATGTTAGCAACATGATCTCTATTTACTTATAGTTATTTAGGTTGATAAGTTGTTTACATTATAGCATGACCCTTATTTAAAACTATAGTGATAATAGATACTGTCAGTTGTTCCACCTTGCTGTTGTAAATATTATTTGGTCAGGTGTTGATGTTAGTGTTATGCAGGAGGAAGTCACGACAGTTTATTTTGTTCAGTTTTATGTATATTGGCATATCTTAAATTATTTTGGTTAAAATGAGAACTAGATCACATGAAGAACATTAAGTAAGTCTGCACAAAATAATGCCTCTCACAAAGAACCTTGTCAGAAGGGACCCGTCAGTCTGCCCCAAGTGTCGTGGCTCACAGAGAACCTCGTCCCAAGAGAACTTTCAGTCTGCCCCAAGTGTCGCGGCTCACAGAGAACCTTGTCCCAAGGGACCTTTAAGTCTGCCCCAAGTGTCACGGCTAACGAAGAACCTCGTCCCAAGGGACCCGTCAGTCTGCCCCAAATGTCGCGGCTCATGGAGAACCTTGTCTCAAGGGACCGGTCAGTCTGTCCCAAGTGTCGCAGCTAATGAAGAACCTCGTCCCAAGGGACAAGTCAGTCTGCCCCAAGTGTCGCGGCTCACGAAGAACTTCGTCCTAAGGGACTTGTCAGTCTGCCCCAAGTGTCGCGGCTCACGAAGAACCTCGTCCCAAGGGACCTTTCAGTCTGCCCCAAGTGTCGCGGCTCATGAAGAACCTCATCCCGAGGGACCCGTCAGTCTGCCTAAGTGTTACGGCCCACAAAGAACCTCACCCCAAGGGACATGCGAGATTTAAAAGTTTAAGTCAACTTTTTTTGGTCAATGATCTATGGAACATACATTGCAACATGACTTGTTATTGTAGGGTTTTCATAATGTAGCATACTACCAATAACTTTACGTGACATTTTAACGCGCACTACTTCCCTTACCTCATTTGTTTTGCTTGTGTTAGGATCTTCATCTGTTGGGAGGAGAACTAGTCTCAGTATGTAAAAATACACAATTTAATATACCTATATTTTACTGTAATTGCTCAAGCAATACAGGTGATGGTGATTTATCCAGTAAATTACAGAATTGTGTGGCGACCCTCATTGTTTATCGGGTAACAAATATGAAATTAATAAGCCCTCAACACATAACTTAACATATGACCAGTGTTGATTTTTGTCATTAAAGAAATTTCTGCTGAAATTTTTTAAAGAAAGATGTTATCTCTGCTTTTAGGAACATCATCTAGTCCTAATGTTTGTCCTTATTTTTGGCTTATTATCACTGAATGTCACCTGCAGGCAAAATGAGGAAAGCCATCATGTGACCCAGAATTAACATTTCTTATTTCCTCACCATTAACGATTTCAAAATTATTTTATGCTTAACTCTATGAATAATACTCAGATCATAACCCAAACGTTCAACCTGGGTATACAAAATGAATAGTCAAAAAAGATGATTTTGGCTTTTAATAATAATTAAACTGAAAAACTAGGCTGAGTGGAGAAAGAAGTGGTTTATGCTAAAGACCTGGCTATGGTGATAAGAGCTTTGCAGTTTACTTCTTCAATAATACATATTCTTTTTTTCTCTTTTGATCACTTGTACCATTTTGCTTCATGTTAGCAGAGACTCATAGGCAGATAATTTGCAGTAAATTGACCAGTCCAAGCATACACTTTACTTAACATGTGGTGTTGTATCATACATTCAAAGATAAGTTGTTGCTATGTGTATTCACTTTTTTCTAACCTCTGATCCCAATAGGGATTTAATCTCTGCCTCATCCTGGATTATAAAAAAAAAACAAGTTAACAGAATCAAAGATAAGGTTTAATACATAAATTCCACAGTATTTACCAGGGTAGCTGTTTGAACACTTTACAACTGTGACTTTCAGGGGATATGTCTCTGAAACTTGGGCCATACTTTGATGGCTGGTGCTTGTTTTGGCTCCTGAAGTCTTAAAGGAAGCCTTCTAAAAATAATCCTCATTTCATTGCCTGACTTTCTCCTAATGTGTTCTTTATTTTTGTTTATTTCCAACAGGTAATCATGCCACGATTGACATAATTGATATTGGCATTATTTGTGCTATGTAAGTATTTGGGAAAAGCTATTTACCTTGTCATCCTCTATTGCCTTTTGCAATGCACTCTCCTGCTCCCTCTTAAGTGAACGATCCTGCTCTAACCTCTCCCTATTGGAAACAATGAATAACTTATGGTGAATCTCACCAGCATTCACTTTGATTTGCTGCATCTGTCTGGATAATCAAAACATATTAACCAAAAATTATGTGCATACACCTGGGTTTTTTTAATGTTTGTTAATTGTGAACAAGACACTGTTTGACACAGCTTAGTATCTGATGTATGAATAACACATCAGATTTCAGCTATAATTATGAGTTTATGAAAATTTCCTGTAAGATCATAAGGTTGTCAATGGGTAACAAGCTGGAAATAATGATTTCAACCTTTATCTTATCGAATATTAAAGACCTCTTACCATTCCCTTGTGAATGCATCCACAGCATCTGCTGCCCTTTTTACTGCATCCACCACATCTTTCTTTGTTGCTAATTTTAGGTTGTCTCCTTGTTATGAGAATCCAAAATATTTAACAATTTTGTTTCCAGCCATCTTTAAGTCAAATCAGATCAATATTAACCTATGATGTTCAATTTTTAAAAAGGGGCCAAAAAGACATATTAAAACAATTTACCAAAAAGTGGCAAAATTTATGCAAGTTTAAACTGGTATGTAGGCAATATACTGGTGCCTGATGATGGCTTGGGATATTGTACATGACTGCAAGTCAACCTTAAAATTAAAGAGTACATTATCTTTAAATTAATATAAGACTTAAAGTAAGGGAAGCACTTCTAAACAATGGGAGTAATTTTCCTCAAACTTCCTTATGTTTATTGTTTGTTTTGACTTGTGCCCACACATAGTGATGACATTAAAATTGAATGAGTACAGACTGACTTGCAGGCATGGGATCCTTTTCAAACATTCCAAACTGAGCGTTATTTGCCAACATTGATCACGAAGAAGTAAAGTATCCCAAAAGTTATCATCGAAAGTTTAAGAGAAACCTACCTTCTGGTATTGCTTTACCTAGACGGTGGAAATTATAGTCTTGACATTCACATTTTACATTTCATAAAAGGGCAACGAATGCCAAGCTTACAGTTGTCTTCATTATCCTCCATTGTTGATAGATCCAGTTTAACAAAAAATGCTGCTAGCTGCAGTCTTAATCTCATGTTTACAAGATTCTCAGTCACAAAATCATTCACAGTAACTTTATCCTAAGCAGAGATGTAGAAAAAAATCCTTGTCATTACATGGTAACTGACTCCGATGAAACAGTTTTCGCACCACTTTCTCAAGGTAAAACTGCAATATTTTGGCCAAATGTGTCTCACAGAGTCAATGCCTGAGTGTACCCTTACCAAACCAGGTGATATGGGCCATATATGGTCCAAGTATGGAAATGGTTTGACATAAACTATGGCCCATATCTGGGTAGTATATGGCTTTAGTATGGGCTATTGCTTCCATATCAAAACCATACATGCTACTGTCTTCATTCAGTTTTGATTCTTTTGTCTTTAACTATGGTATTGCTACGTATTTGGCACAGCTCCATAGATTTCCCACAGTGTCTGGTATGGGAATGATATGGATCAGCTCCATACCAATACCATATGATCCCTGCATGACCCTTCTGTATGGGAATGGTATGTATTTGGCACAGTTCCATATAATTCCCATATCATCCACACATACTAGCATCTGATATAGGAATGTTACACGTTTTGTAAAGTCCCATACAATTCCCATATCCGTTGTTGTACTGGAGCATCTGATATGGAAATGCTACAAAATTCTGGAAGTTCAATACAATTCCCATATCATCTGGTAATTATCAAGTTCACTTCTGATTACAGTCCCATAGCAATACCATATGATCAATGCATCTCCCCACAAACTATGGTAATTCTATGGCACAGATTTTGCCTTATGACATACCCAGTGGTGCCCGAATGCTTATGGAATGGGGTTAAGAAAATTAATGCTCAGTCCTGAGGTCAATATGTACCAGTAGTCAAGTTCATTGTGCAAAAGGGCAGAAGATCTTGAGAGAGGCTACCTCCTGTTTCTGTGTTTGAGGTTTTCTTCAAACCAGAGGTTAGACTCACTAATACCTCTAACTATTTTCAAAAGAAACTAACTGTGGTTACCTTGATCTCCAACTATTCTTAAAGTGTTTGATATCATAAGCCTTCAAAACATGGAAACAGGAACCACAGTTTTGCATTCTTTGTGTATATTTTAATACAAATAGACTATAAAAAAATATACTTAATGTACTCTCCACATGAATTCTCTATCCTGTCCTCTATGGATATTACACACTATCAAAAAAACTAGCAACCATGAGGAAACATGTTTGGGTTGTGCCTCTTATAATATAAAACATTAAAGGATTGTAAAATATATACAACTAAACAAGCCTAAAATCTCTTAAAATTCTATGTCGTAATCTTACGAGGTGATGCACCTTATAGTGGCCACCTAACAAACTTGCTTTAATTAAGTTAGCTAACCAGGAAACTCAAATTTGTATCATGGTACACTTCCTAATACAATGGTTCTCATGTTTGAATTCAATTAGAGGATCACTGACTGTGAAGCAAAATTTGATGGGCTTTAAAAAAAGGTTTGTTGTTTGGCAACGTGAAGAATGACACACTGTAATTACCAAATTTAATCATTTGGAATTTGAGAGTGTGTTTTGAAAGCTCTGTACTGGTGAGAGGCTTGCTTAATTTGCTAATGAACCTTGACTTGTAATTTAAGCATTTTTGGTTTTCAGATGATTCTTGTGTTAGACTTTAATTTGCACATTACTGTTACTTGACATGTCAGTGTTTTATTGAATGCAATGCATTCCACAGGTGTTCTGTGCCTTCAAACAAACCATCACACGGGATGTGAAATGAAACTCTTCACATTTCTGTGCATAAACAATGAAGCAAATGCCAAAGATAAAATAAACATCATTCACAATCTAAATTGTATATATACTGTTTGTTCTTAACCATTTAGTAATTAGTCACCTAAGATGATCCAGCAAGGAATTTGCAAGTTGAACATTGAACATCATTCTTGTTTTACTTTGAAATTGTATGTTGATCAAAATGTATCAAGATTTTGACAGCAATAATTGACCATATTCTGCCTTGAAGAAATGAGTTCAGAGATTTAGGGGAGGACTGGTTAAGGTGGGGGTGAAGTTGTTTCATTTCAGGGGGTGAACTCACCTAGATGCTTGCAAGGGGCAAAATTGCAATGGATGAAACCTACAAAAACCTTTCCAGTGTTAATTGTTATGAAATGGTGACATGATCCTGTCTCGGCTAGAATTGTGTCTGACATGTAGAGTAACAAAACCCAGAAGTCCTGAATCCCTAGGACCCTCCCTATAGATCTGCCACTGAACATTACCAACAATAAGACACTTTTCAGAAATACCATGCATGGAGACATGTTAACTTTTTTGTCAAAAGTAACAAGGGCATAACGCTTTGTTGTTGGCCCATCACAGATGTGAAAAATAAATTATTCAATGATTGAATGAGTTGTAAAATATGACTGACGCTGTGGATCACTTTGCCTCACTTTACTGGTTCATTTTTTCAGAACCACCAATTGCAAAGATAAGTCTGTCATCAGTGCAATGAAGTTACCGAGAGGGATCCTTTGTTAATATCAGCTGTACAGCATCCGGGATTCCAGAGCCAGATGTCACATGGACCAGAGAAGGAACAGTGATAAGTTCAAGAAAGGGAACGGCATTTCTGATCTTGAACAGTAAAAGAAGAAAGCCGTCTTTTATATCATAAAATAAGAAAAAAAGGCGCTGAGTGCATAGTCGAGTTGTAGAAGAACACGGAATCTTTTCAGGAAACGAGAGAAGTGCTAGAGAAGCACAAGCCGTAGGCGAACACCTCTCGTACTTCTCGAACGTTTTTAAAAGATACTAAGTGCTTCTGTAACTCAGCAGTGCACGAAGAACAAGTTTTTCACTTCCTCATGAAATAGTAACTTATAAACTCGTTTGTGAACAGAACTTGATAAATGAACATCGATTCTTTTTTATATATCTTTTGTGCTTGGAGGCATGTTCATGTTTATCTGTACCGAAAGCGAGTGCATATCACAGCTGCTGAACATGCCACCGAGCATTTCGTTGCGACTGCACAGTCACCAATATTCTAAAAACTTCAAACCAACAAAAGATAATACTGAGGGTAGAACTTTCTTTTAGGCTATTGCTTCAGAACAATTTCATCACTTTCAATTTCAACGTCTTCGGTCAGTTCGCTGACGTCTCAGAGGTTGGTTCGCCAACATATTAAAAATGAATTTTTGAATATATGAAAATCATATATGTGTATTACGGTTTCATGATATGTATGAAAGCGATTCACGCAGTAATAAACCTTACTTATGTAGAAGGGAAAATAAGGCGTGAAAAAATTCAGGCCCGTAGGGATTTGAACCAATAACCTCTGCGATACCGGTGCACGATTTGTTTTTGCCATCTGGTTAGTTATTATATGAGGATAGGGCTTTCTGGACTACTCACCGAGCGAAATAAAGCAAACTTAATGCAATTTATTGATTGATAAAGTAAGATTGTAACTCAAAAGATTTAAAAGAAGAGTCACTTGTCACAACAAATGGCTCATAGGGATGAAAACAACCAATGAGTGTAGTAAAACGAAAGGCGCAATCAAAAGCTTGATATCAGGAAAACCTTGTATATCTTCTCAGGCTCGGCCATATAATCCCACTAGGTCTGAAAAATTATTCATAGTGATACTGTACGTTATCTATTCATCACTTTATGATTTTTCAATAGGATTTCAAAATGATACGACAATCTCGTGTTTTCATTTACTCTCGGTTAAGAAGCCGAGTCCACCATCCATTATTTCATCAGAAAAAAGCACTCAAACCAGTTCATTAACAGTAAGATATGCTGCACCTGCCGATGATGGAGGGAGTCCTATCACCGCATACTGAGTGATCATACTTGAAGGTGACACTGAGATAAACAGTGTTAATATTACTGTTCCTGGTGTAACAAGTTACACTTTTGGGGGTCTGGAGAGAGATAAAAACTACGGAGTGAAAGCGTTTGCAAGGAATGCTGTGTTTGAAGGAGATCCTGTTGTAATCACCATGAAGAAAAAGTTTCAAGGTAAACAATCACAAGCTACTGATGGGAAAATTCGAGTTTTAGACACTCTTAAGCGTGACTTTCTGGTCGTTACGTACCGCATATTTTTTACTCTTTCACTTGGGTATCGCCCTATCTATTCTTCAAAATGGAGCAGCTTAATCATCGATAAAAAATGCAGCTAAATGCAGCATTTAATTTCCGTCTAATGTCTTCGAACTTTATCAGTCTCTCTTTCCAATCGCTGGAAGATAAAACTGTGAGGACAATATTAGTATCACCAATACCTATTTTCGCCCTCCATATCGAAATAACGACAAACTGTTTTCCATAGGTTGGCTAATGGGGAATTATCTCTCTCTCGATTGAGCTGACAAAATGTTTATTATTCCTTAGCTCGAGAGGACTTTAAGTGTCATGACGTCATTTTTATAGCCATACTTGGACTACTTTCGTCAGTACTCCTGTTTTTCATTTACATTGTCTGGTTACTTAAGAAAGGTAAATATCACTATTTTGCATTTTTGTTAATTTCGGGTCAGATATTCAAAACGCCAGCCGGTACCTTAATGTTTATCAACCAACCTATTTTGTTTTCTAGGCGGTGGTGGAAAAAAGAGGTAAGAACTCTCTAGTTTACTCCCGCATTCAGAATGGTTGTAAACTAAACGAACTATAACAACAACAACAGTCGTAAGATAACAAAAAGGCCTATCGATGTTACATTTGAGATTAACTCACAGAAGTGTAGCTGTTGTTAGTATCGATGGGAATTTTTGGGGAAACATTATGTGATATTTCTTGTCTGGGTTTTCGAGCACGGTGACATATGGCTCTCATTGGTACGATTAACTCATAAATCGCACCTTTTTTTTTCTCTTTAAATCAGGATATAAGGCGAGGAATTTCGGACATGAGACTGGTTGAAAGTATCACTATTTCTGTACCGTATGGTACATACAACAGCAAAAATGGATAGTATAGCAAAGTTACCAGCATAACATAAGATCTCTTGTGCGAGACCGAGAATTTCTCGGCTTCTATCACAAACAAATAATAGCATGACCTGTACCTGGTATTTTGCAGTAATACATGCTGGTAATATTTCAAAATTTTCCAAAATACCACTCACCGCTTCGCTCATGGTACTTTGGACAATTTTGTTTGGCGGTATTACTGCCAAATGTCATTACAAGTCATGCTATATAGATAGAAATCGCATGTTTTCTCAGCCAATGGGGAAGCTTTACTAAATTGCTGCAACTAACTGTATTTTTAAAGAAACCAAACAAATGGCAGGAAAATGAAAAACGACTTTTAATTAGCAGCTTTCAACAAACTAGCTCGCGACTGGATCAACGAAACATTTGTACAGAATCCAAATAATCCTGTTTCTTAGGAACTGAATTTTGCGATTTCAAATGAATGCAATAGTATGGTAATCGAACTTCGTGTCTTGCAATTTTGGTCTGAAATCGTGCTTGTGATTTCACATTAAACTCGTGTTGCGTGCTTGTTTTATTTTGAAATCAGTTGTATGATTTCAGACCAAACTGCACTCCACACAGTTCAATTACCATTATTAACACTTCTGAAGACAAAACAAAAATACAAAATGTGTCATTTTAACAAATATGTAAGATGCATTTCAATGAAAACATCTGTTAATCTGAGAAGAGTTGAAAAAGAATAGCCCTTATCGCATTTACGCCCACTGTACGAGAGTTCAGCGGACTTTAAAGTTTCGAAACGAGGCGATCGGGTCACACAGGTAAATCTTTCAAGTAAAATCGAAGCAAACGGCTACGTTTGGAGGCATTTTTATTTATTTTCTTAAGGATACAGCATGTTCTCGTCATGGTTAGACATTGTATTGCGTACGGGTGTCTATTCAGTGAATCGGCAACTGACGAGATCCACAAAATTAGGATCGAAACCGCGGTCTTGCCAAACACGTTCAACTATAATAGTATTAATAATAATTTAATATTTATATTGCGCAAATTAACATGTGGATATGATCAAACGCGCATCACAACACTTTTCGGGGGACTTTAGCCGGACTGCATCAGCAGTTTACAAACAATCGAAGGAAACTTATTCGAAGATGAGTGGGTTCTTTAACGTCCCCTGCCTAACCAAATTAACTAATTACTAGATCCAGGGGACGGGACCTACGGTTTATTCGTCCTTATCCGAGAAGACTAGAATGTCTATCCATTTCTTGATAGTATAGAAAGGTAGCGCATTCTCCTCAGTTATTATAAGACCTTCAGTGTTGGTCCGGCCGCGGCTCGAACCATCGACGTCGACCTCCCGCACAACATTCCAGCACTCTAACCAATTGAGCTAACCGGGAGGCGGTTATCAAACTAGAGGCGAACAAAACGCACATAAAAAAACCTCTCAAACAAAGAACTTAAAAACGACCAGATTAATTTACTGGCAAAAGGGCTTAAATTCATTCCAACACCCGCTACAAAACAAAAACAGATCAG